TCTGGGAAGTTAATCTACATGCACGAGTCTCCATTCCCAAAATAATTGGTCAGCGCACCGGCTGTCAATGTTTTTGGCGAGTAAATAATAACTCCGGAACCAGAAAAGCTACAAAGCTGAAATTTTAAGAGGACGTTCCCCGTTCACATACAACTAAGTAACTTCAGATTCAGCCCCCGGATGTGCGTGGTTCTGCCCGTGAAAATTCACTGTGGGTAAGTTTCTATGGGGGACCAGAAAACCTAAAAAACCGGAATTTTTTGGGGATGTTTGCTGGCAGTCCTGGTGGACAGTCTCAATTCTTTTCGAGAGAAGCATCTGCTGAAAAAAAAGCACTGCCGTTAACGACAAAAATCTGTAGTTCCCCTCAGATGCAAAAAACTCATGTTTGCACCGGCAGCCGGGACGCTGACCAATTATTTTAGTATTTGTCTAAAATATAAGCAGTACCTATCGAAAATATTAGCTCAACGTAGCCCTGAACACAACGCTTAAGGAAGACGTACCGATGCTCAACACACACCGCTGAAACACTAAGTAGCTAAAGCCATACAGCTAAAGCTTTGTCAAAGCGCTTCTGCCGAGACAACCACCGAACCTCAAATCTCTTCAGCCGACAGAAGAAACGCTTGGATCATCAGAGGGCTGACCACCAAGCAATGTAAATAGCATCAGAGAGCGTCCTGAATATAGCACATTTGTGGATTGATAGTTTTTGCCAGAAACGTCAAAACAAGTCAGAAAAGGAGGGGCAGAGAGGGGAAGGGGGGAGGGGGGTCAGTAATTCTCACTCTGTAGAGAGTTGCTTTAGTGTTTAAGAGCATGTGATGATAGACAATAACGATAACTTTTATCACAATAAGTCCTCAGAGAGGCGCAAAGACATATCACAGTAAGAGAGAGAGAGATCAAACAACAGTAGCAAGAGCATAAATCACATTGGTACTTCTTGAATGAAAAAAAAAAAGTACACCGTTCGGCTCAAATATGCAGAGAGAAAAAAAGCAGGAAAAAAAAACGGCACAAAAAATGGAGCTCGAAGTAATACATGATTATGGCAATAACTCTGGAGCAATGCTTTATATCCCAAATGTCTTTTTTTTTGCTTTCACTTGTAATGAAATAAGCAATCAAATGTTTCTTCTGACTTACAGCATTTTATAGCGCTACAGATCAAAAAGCTGAATCACCTAACCAAGATTTTCCTGAACAAGAGATGGATGGACAAGGTGAGAATATTAGAAGCACTGACGATAGGAGGGTTCGAACGGGATGTATCTGGGAAATAACAAAACTTGGCTGCTTTGATAAGCTGTAGTCCTAAATGTGTAGTACTTGAACTAGGCAACTGGCAATTTTGTCAGCTGTTTTGACCAATGTTGCACCGGACAATGGTCAGCAACTGATGAC